GCCCGGCTAGTTTTTTGTATTTTTTTTAGTAGAGATGGGGTTTCACCGTGTTAGCCAGGATGGTCTCGATCTCCTGACCTTGTGATCCGCCCGTCTCGGCCTCCCAAAGTGCTGGGATTACAGGCTTAAGCCACCGTGCCCAGCCTATTGTTTTTTTTTTTGTTGTTTGTTTGTTTGTTTTTTTCCCCTTGGGACCTGGGAGGAGTCCTTTTGGGTTCATCTTGTTTTCTCCTGGTGTCTACCAAAGGGAAACGTTCATAGCAGGTAGTTCATGAAAGACTTCTGAATGAATGAATGAACGAATCAGCTAATGTAAGGGTTATAGCAGATTCCTCATGTCCCAGCCTGTACTAACTGTGGCTAGCTGGCTTTCCTCTGGTTTCTGCCCCATCCTGGACTTTTTTGGAAGCCTGGCTTTAGCTCGGTGGCAAACTGAGTCAGGATCCAAGCTCCCATCAGGGAGGGTGGGGCACCATAAGCCGCCCCACCCCCACCCCAAACACAGAGCAGATTCCACATATGGAAATATGGTGTTTGCCTGATGGAAAATTACCGGGGAAATCTGGGAGAAAGAGGGTTTCATACCTAAACCAGTCAGATGAGGCCCTCGATGCTTTTCACTGACAAGGGTCACTACTGCGTCACAGCATTAAGCTGCACATTTTTCTGGCTCAAGCCACGCATTTTACAGTTGAGGTAAGTGAGCAGTCTCCCCGGGTCGCCAGCAGGGAAGGGACAGAAATCTGGTCACAACCCTACACTCCAGGTCTGGGCTCTTTTAGCAACATCCCTCAGCCAATCTCTCCCAGGGGGAAAACAAAGGCAATGACCAGGGGCCACATTATTATGATATGATAACTAGCAAAACTTTAATAACACCAACCAGTTCAGCCCCTAGAATAACAGACTGGGCAGACCCTTTCCCCCTGCCTCAGCAAAGAGGGTGTTTCTAGGGAAGAAACGGCTACACTTTGCAGGCAAACACTTTCATCACCTTCATGGCGACAAGAGCTCCAGGCCTTGTTCCTCCCTTCTTCCTTCCTCCTTGTCTCTTTCTCTTCCTTGTTTTCCTTCGGTGGGGAAATGAGTTTCCATTCTGACCAAGCTCATCTGTTTTAAGGACAATTTCTTTCCTGCTGTAGTTAAGTCTTCTGGGTGCTCTCGTCTCCCCAGGGGGATGGCCATATGTGGGGGTACCAATGCTACCCACAGCTGGGGGCCTCCCCACTGGGTCCCTCTAGGGGGTGAGGACAGGGGAATGATGTGACTTCGGTGGGAGGATGAGAGAGCCTGGACTGTGAGGTCCCAATCTGTGCTCCTAGCAAGGGCTGTGGCTGTCAGTGAAGCTTGCTACCAGGCCCCCATCTCCAGCAAAAAAAGCAAACAAACATAAAACAAACAAAAAAGACAGTATTTACAAATGAACTCGTCTCTCCTTGGGGCGGCTCTGGGCGTCTGGGTAGTAGGCGGGTAAGCCTGCGCCCGCAGGGTTGTGTGCAGGAGCGGGAGCTCAGGCTCCTGAAACTGGGGGGAGGGTGCCTTGTCTGGGGGAGGTGCCTTGGCTTCAGGGAGGGTGCCTTGGCTGTGGAAAAGGCAGGAGAGAGTCTGACGGGAAGAAGACCATGGAGGAGGAGGAGA